CTTTCTGCACTCGCAGTTGCAGCTGCATATCTTCAGCTTTTAGCTCTAGCTAACCACATTTTTTTCCAAACATCTTCCTTTCACTCCTTTCTTGAAACATGTTTAGCATCACAAATGTGGAACCATATACTTTGTTTCACCTTTGACTTGTAGCTTAGATGTTAGACCTAGATGAGAGCACCACTTAAGATCTTTTGGTTTTCATTTTGGACAAGATCCAAGATGCAGATTTTTCTATCTACCCACACATGAAACCTTGCAAGATAAGGGCCTGCAACTCAATTACATTTGACTTTTGGATGCAATTTTTGTCTCTTCAGAATGACTGAAAATATCTTGTTCTCCAGGAAATCATGGTCTTGTTTAGACACTACCCTCCTCCATATTGCTGCTCCAAGGTTCTTCATTTCCCCATCAGACCAAGTGCACATGTCAAGTAAAAGACAAGTTTGGTTAACACTATCTATTTATTCACATTTTACACACCTTCTCTGAGGTTTTCTGTTTTTAGTAGGACAAACTACCAATACATATCATAATGCTTTCTTATTTTTCCTCAAAACTTGGTACCACTAGCAATAACAATCTGAGCATTGTTTGAGGACTGGTATTTTGAAAATACCAATCGTCATGCTGACAAATACCTACTTCCTTTGCTACCTATTTTAAACCTAGTTTACAAGTCTGGAGCTTTTCTATTCAAAAAGCACCTAACATGACAGAATCAGAATCCTAGCAAGTAATTAAGGTATCTATGTATTTTTTGAAGAAAAATATAGAGAATAAGCCAGGATGTTGCCACATAATAGAGTTCTTATTGCCAAAGTTCTGTAATTTAGACTTGTGGCTAGCTAGTTTATGTTAAAAGTGAGGACGTAGCATCTTGTGCTCACTAGATCTCATTTTATTTAATTTAAAAGAACTAGACAATTTTCCCTCCCTCAGCACATAATGCAGATCATGGCTCAGGAGGATAAAAAGTAATGCTACAGCTGCTTAGCTCTTCCCTTGCACTAAGTTCTGCATTCATTTCTGCTCTAGTCTGTATTTCTATTTCATAATGAAACATACAGCCTAGTTATTTATAGGCTTTTTAAGGATTAACTACATACTCATAAGAATAAACCCTCAAGAGGTTAACCTCATCCTCTTAAACTTCACACACTACAATCCCAGAGATAGCTAGTAACCACAGCCAAGGGAGAAAAAAAAATAATCCCACATTTTGCTAATCCTTTAGCCAATCACCTCATGCAACAGTGGAGAGGCCTCTCAGAGGCCTACAACTCAATCTGTCTCAAAAGCACTGTCAATCCAAAAGATACATATTTCACAGAACCATTAGCAACTCACCTCAAAAGACAAAATAAGATATACCTGGCATTGAAATCATGCATCTAAAATGCAATGCTAAAGAAGATTCCAGTTTGCTGCTTATATTCTCCACTCATATATTTGCATATTCTACGCATAAAATTACCTAGTTTATTAATTTGAAAGTAAATCTAATGATTTTTGCACTGGTTACAGCTAGGTAGATCAATTTAACTGTCCCTTATACTTCCTAGCATGAACTTTGAGTACCTTTGACTTTCCAGTCAGACCATCTCTCAAAACCCAAACAAAACCCTTCAAGTTAAACCATGATAATCTACCTAATTCTTTCATACCACAATCTGGATGCTTCCTTAACCCCAAACGTGGACACTGCCTGCAGCTGCAGCAGTGCCAAGGAGTGAATGGGTGCACTTATCTTGTAACTCAAAGGGTTCTGGTTTGTTTGTGATTTATCTAGCAAAATTGCTACTTCATTCAACCTTAATATAACAAATATGAAATTGTGCCATTTAAAAAAATTGGCAAGGAAGTTGTTTAGCCACACTGCTACCCCATGGCTGGAAGTTAAAGCCTCAGGGACGTGCAGGAAAAGTATAAAGACAGAGTATGACTGTTAGTAATCAAATTCATTCCTGAAGCAAGATTTTTAATCAACACTGAAGATTAGCACTGCTTATAAGCTCACCGAGTCCAACTACATTACTTTTTTAAAAAAAAAAGTATCAATTCATTCATTCTCTTCTGTACAAGCTTAATATACCAATCCCAAAGCCTGACTTTTGACTCCGTAGGTAAATCCTCTGAAAAATCTCAGTCCTGTGGAACTACAAGTTCCTATCCTCACAGTCTGTCCTCTAATAGGCTTCCAGATTTTCAACTGGAAATAAAAAAGTATAAAATACAAGAAGATTTTGAACTATCTTTATTTCAAAAAGTTCTTCCCACTCATTAAAGGCTTTGTTCCCTTCCACAATTCACACATGGCCCAGCAGAAACTCTTGAATCATCTAGTGTCAGGAAACAATGCCCCGTAAAGAGAGAAAGGAAGGACAGCAAAAAAAGTCAAACCACAACAAAAATGAATATTTTTATGTAATCAAGAGAAACTAGGCAAGTGAACATCAGCTAGGAAAAAAAACCAAAACCAAAACCAAACCCTCCTCCTATATTCAAAATTTATTGTACATTAGTATCCTCAGTAGTATGACACTAGAGGTTACTTGATTGCATCTTCTACTGTTACAGATTGCCCCAGCCTATTTGCATTCTCAAAAGAAGTTTCATGATCTTTCATGCTTATAATAGATGTCTAAACTGTTAAACTGCTATTTCTTTTCTTATCTTGAAAGACACTGCACTTTAACAGCATGGCCCTTCCATTGTTCTTTACACTAAGTTGGGTCCCTGAACAATACTGGCAGCTGCTATCAAACTGGGCCATGCTCACTCTCAGTGCAGCTGCTGCTTGTAGGAACAGACAGGCTTCTGATGTGTCCTCCCCTCTGGGGAGAAGGCTTGACATGCTGCGTGCTCAGTGAGGGGGAGCAAAGGTCCACTGAATTGTCAACCCAATTTTATGCTATTCAGATTTTCCAGGATACACACCACCCCTTTCAAACAAAATCAAGTGTATGTCAGAGCATGAAACTTACTGTGCGGCACAAGATAATTATTGATCATGTAAAACTGTAAAAGATCACTGTGACATACATCTAATTTTAGCATTATGTACATGCATGCATCTACATGGTCAAATAAATTTTGTGCCCAACATGTTCATTTCTTCATTCACTGTTTTGGATTTGCACGGTATCATTCAGAAGGCTTTCAGAAGACACAGGGAAGTAGCTCTTCTGGTGAATCTTAAGTAATTTAAAAATTAAAAAGGTGGAAGCTTCTATTCCTGCTTTGAAAGAGCTTCCCCCGCCTGCCCTGGCCGCCCCAACCCCCCAATGTTCTTAATTGCATGTGGTACTTGTAGATCTTATTGCTTTTAAAAGATTATATTGTGCAGACTTTAAAGAGGGCTACATGACATGCTTGAGACAGCAAAATTTCGTTTGACTAAGTAGCACTATCCTAAGTCCAGCAAGAATGGTTTTAAATATATTTTAATACATATTTCCATTTGCTACATAAAATATTTTTAAAACTAGTTCATTAGAAAGGGTTTTCCATTCCATTTTCATCCTAAAGAAGTAATCCATTTTAATAAATGAAAGAAAGTACAGTTCTCTAATCTTTGCTAATCAAATACCACAAATGTATGTGCTGTATTTCAAAGATCGAATCAGGTATTCATAAAGTAATTCATTACACAAGCAAAGCATAGAGGAGATTGTGACAAATACAGATGTAATTGTGTGGGTTTCTAAGATGTGATTAGCAAATCAACTAAGTAACAGTCAAAAATTGATACGAAGGGAAAAAACAGCGCAGATTTGAAGGGGGGGGTATGTTTATGCAAAGCTAATCTGTCAAGTGTAATAAAGCAGCTTGAATAAAATTTAAGCTGAAAATCCACTGAAGCTCCCCATTTCAGGGAGGAAAAGCTATTAAAAGGAAATGAAGGTCACCCTCCCAGTTTATTTCACCTAATTGACTGCCAATAGCTTACCACAGGCAAACTGACTGCAGATCTGCAATTGAGAAACTGATGAAAGGAGAGTTTTCAAGCTGAGGCTCATTCTTTTAATCCTCCCTCTGCTATTTTTTTTCCTTTCCATCTCCAGTTGGGATGTAATTTTAAGCACAGATGGATTAACTGGTTCCATTGTGTGTAGACGTCATTGGACTATGGCACTGTTAATCCGTACAGCAGCAAGTCTAATTATCATTACAAAGTGTCTGAGAGAACTATAAAGACCAGCAGGGCATCTTCTCACAAGCAATTAACATAAATTGATAAATGAGTAATTTGAATCCGCTCAAGGCGCTCACATATGAATAAAATCAGAAAGGACAGGTTCTTGTTTCGGCTACTTCTTTCACTTAGTCTGGAAGGGCAGAAAACATGAGAAATACTCTAGACTTAGTGGCAGGGGAAATGAACTCATGCAGTGGAAGGAATGTATGGTTCAGAAAGTTCATGAACACAAAGCAAACAACTTGTGATTGACAACCAGTCACAAGCAAGTAGTATTAACTTATTTCAGCATATTTAGAAGCACATACTTGGTGAAAGGCTATTAGAACACTGTGTCAGACAATTAATACCGCTTCAAAAGCAAGTGAAGCTTCTTTTCAGCAGCTTGCTAATTTAAAATTCATGAAAGACTCACAAGAAAGGGAAAGAAAGAAGAATGAATAATTGTACAGGCTCCAAGAACTCAAGTGTCACAAAAAGCGTGAGGCAAAGGTAACTAGATCAACTGACATACAATACCTACAAATAAACAAGTGACTCTCCTAATCATTATATTTCTTGCAGGAAAAGTGTTGTTACGCGCGGCGTTGCTGCACAAAATGATGTTCTGACAAAGCAAGCTATTAACTTTATCCCTGCTAAAATCTGTGTGAAACAAGGCAAACACTTGAGCAGCACTGGGCATCAAAATAGTGTTAGATATCAAAACATTAAGCTTATTGTTAAAATAGCAAAGCAGTAAGATATGAAAGCAAGTTATACACACTGTAGGAGGTAGACCTGGAAGGCCACGTACCCCGATGATGGCATTCAGTTCAGCCATGGTCACTTGTTTGGCACGCTCTACAGCTTGGGCCACTTGCTGCTGATGCTATTAAAAGAAAAAGGGATATGGGGAGGAATTTGTGTTAAGGTATTGACCACACCAGATCAAACCAGGATCACAAACACCTAAATAACCGGTTTGTCTGCAGAAGACCAGGCTACCAATTGCAAGACATCTTATGCAGGTAAAAGGTAACAGCGCCCTATTTCTCACCTGCCCAAAAGCAAACAAGAGCCCTGAAGGCAGCCACCTCACCTCTTCCCCCATGCACTTCAATATTAATTTTCTGGTAAATGAATAATCAGTTTCTAATTGACCTGACAGGACGATAATGTCAACTTCACACTGGTGTCAATTTTAACATTTATGTACTCTGTGCCCACACAGGAAAACCTACTGAAATTTTTAACACGGAAAAGCAGTGCTTCGCTGAACTCAACAAGAATTACAAATACTCTTTGTAAACTATAGAGTTGGAGAAGACATCCAAAATAACAGGCTTCAAAAAGCATGTGCCCACAATATGCTACAATCACAGTCATTCAGACCAGATGCAGGTTTGTAACCTTAAACACTGTTTTGCATCGAGCTAACTACTCACCTTTTACACTAAAATTTGATACAAATTAGGTAGACAAGATAAGCATGCTTATTTCACTAGATTCACATTTGACAACTGAATATCAAATAAGCAATCATCATGATTAGAAATGAAAGCATTTTCTTGCATTGGTAATATTTCAGACTCCCACTCTCCTCAGGCAATGAATGAGGCTGAGCTATTGTCATTAGTTTGAACTCATATTTGTTAGACCAAATTAGCAGGGGGTTTGCACACTTCAGCTATAACAGATGTTCCTTACACTTGTGTATTGCGATAAAATTAACATCTTAAAACTAGCTAATTTGCAAACAGAAAAGCAACATAATTGCACTTTAACAGCTGAACAGTTTTACTTACTTCCTGAGACAAAAATGGGATGACTTGTGCACAAATTGTATTCAATCTCTTGGCGATTTCTGTCTATAGAAGAAAAGTATTTCGATTAAAACTGTGTTTTATGTTTGTTGCCACATATTAACTAGTGTACAAAATTATATTAAGTTCATATTGTGAAGAAAGTAACAAAAATATACATCTTAATAATATTGCAGATATAAATAGTTAATATATAAGCCCAGATCAGGGCAGAGATTTAGCTAGCACTCTAGGACATCTGCCATGTCTAAAGCACCTAATCTGTATACATGTTTAGGCACAAATCTGGTCCTTGTACATAGCTCATTAACAAGTAAAGCATTTTTGAAATCCATTAAGTCCAAGTTAAAGCCTTTTAAAAAGTAGATTTATTATTACTTAAATTATCAAGCAGCATAACATGAAAGTGACAGACACAGCATAACATGAAAGTGACAGGCATGGAAGAAAAATGTTTCTTCCATGATCAATTTTACCTGTTGGCAAAACCAAAATTAGTTTTGCCAACAGAAACACACCATCAGGAGTACAATACAAATACCAGAACAGAAGCAATGCAGAATGGAGACGAAAGGTACAGATTTCTAAAACAGACATATTGAGAGAGAATTAAAATAATGCAGACAAAAAAAACCCATCAGATCAGAAAATGTGACTGTCAATAACAGCAAATTACTGAAACCATTAGTAACAGAGGAAGAAGGCTAGGAACCAGCAGAGAACAGAATAATTCTTCACTGAAAGCAGCAGGATGAAGTGTTTGAGTGTCACTTTTCAACAGCTTTATGTATCTCGCACTTTCGGCCTGTCAACTTGAACTCAGGATTTTGGTTGGGATACAGGGATCTTTTTCTCTCATTACTCAGTCTTGTACTTACAGCTTTTTCAGGCCTATACATCTGCCCACCACTCAGAACCACCATTATAAATAACCCTTAAGGTACTTGCACAACTACAGTTTTCCTTAAAAACATCTCCTGCAGTCACTGTAGCGTAGTAGTACAAAACCAAAATTAGCATCCAGATGTGAACACAGTCTACATACAAAAAAAACGCTCTGGTCAGTCTCTGTCTTATCATTGATCCACACAGATATTTCTTGGGAGGTTTGGTTTGTTTTAAGACAAAAGAAACAAGAGGTCCCTGCTGAGAATTGCTAGGCCTTCCATGAAATGACAGGCATAAACTTGAGCAAAGAAACTCTTTCAAAGAAGTCAGATGAAAACATTGCTAACTCATCTGTCGAGCCTCTTCCTAAGCCTTCCTCCCAATCATCCTGACATTTTCAGGAAGACACTATAATTTGCTGACCCAAGCAGTAATTAGGACACAAACAGAAGATTTGGAATCCAAATGCAACCGGCAAGGTTTAACACCTCTTTCCCCACCTCTGACAGACACAGAAAATACTTGATAGCACTGAGATTTGTAAAACACCACATTTCTCTGACCTAAGCTGAAGTACTCCACCTGACCAAAGTCTGGTATTTGACACATCCACTATAAAGTTTTGTGGAGACAAGAGTCTCCAAAGCAGCTCTGGGATGTTTTTTCCCTAGGACAAAAAGGTTCCTTTGAATAAGGGCAATGAAGCGACAGTTGTTTTACAGAAAACTTTTCTCCCCCTGCAGCAAGGAAACCAGATCTCTATTCTCAATAGAAACAGCTACCATTTCACATAGTGACACAGCAGTCTGTTTCTGGTTTGTTTGGGCCACAACCATGCAATATCCATCATTCTGTGTGTGGCCTTCGGTACTGGTACTACATACATACTAGCAAAGGCAATACAAGGAATTTACCAGCTTAACTATTGTCAGTTATAAGACTTAACTATTGTTAAGTTATAAATATGAAAATAACAATCAAATCTGTTGGTGCTTTCGGTGTCTGATAACAAGTAAAAAAACCCAACATGATTGTGAGATAAGATTGTGTACTAAAGGGCATTTTCCCACATATCTAGTATGTCTCTCCAGAAAGCAAGGTATGTCAGCTATGGAAAGAAAGTCTGCTACACAGCAATCTGGTTGGCTGATGTTTAGCTAAGATGTTTAGGGTCCAAGAATTTAATTGCCCTAGACCAATGGGATTACCTTTGTTTTCAGGATGGAAGCCAGGATGAATCACACCAGGTGATAACGGGAAAGAAAAAAAGTAAAATAAGAAACTCATTTGGTTTCTACTGAAAAGTTCTTGGGCCTATACAGCCTACACAAAAGTCTCCATATTCTGCAATACTGAGATAAGTATCTTCACTGTAGCTGTAATTAAAAAATATTTTCGGCAGAGTCCATAAAATATGCAAGTTGCCCACATTATTGGGTTTTCCTGCACAAGTCCCAAGTATCTGAGCTTCACTGTAATAACACAGCATACAGGATGACACACAGTAAGACAAAAGAATGCAACGTTACGTTATAATTTCCAGTCCCAACATGGTTCAATTATTTTAATTTTCTTTTATTTATTTTCTAAAAAAGTGGGCATAATCAACTTCCCCACTTTCCCACTCAATCTTACCCTAAAATTATTGTCTCAGTACTGTCATACCTGACTTAACATCAGAATTGAAAAAAAAAAAATAAATGTATCCTTCTGAGTTAGTCTTTACCAAAGCAGGGCATCATTGATGACCATATATGAACAGCATCCTTAATATTCATCCACAGTGCTGGGTAAACTTAAATGTACATGTATAAGATTATGGTAATAAGGTAAGTTTTTGTTGAGACTTCTTGCTGCTGTTACAAGTACCAGTTAAGACACATTTACACTGAAAGAAAACTGAAAAGGCTATTCTATACTTCATAACAAAAGTCTGCTTACATTTACAAGGCAGTTTGCTTACTAGTGCTATTTCCCACACACAATTAAATAAAGTACTTAAAATTATTTATCCACTATACTTCTTGCATCTCGGGTTTGCTGCCCTCAAATGTTTAGTAAAAACTATTCGTATTCAAATAAGTTTAAAATTATTTTTTTCTCTAATGATTTTGTGAAAGTTAGGCTTTAATGCACAAATCACCTAATCTTGCTTATCAGCAGTTGCAAGCAGTTGTTCTTAGAACTGAGAAAAAGTAACTTCATTAATTTAAATATAAATCTAGCTGTTCAAAAGGCAATGTGCGTTCACCTTTCAAGGTGAGTATACATGCATGTGTGTGTGTATATATATTCCTTACTGAAAGCAAAAACCTTTTTTGAAGGAGTCTAGGAAAACTTTGCTAATCAAGACTAGACATCAGTAATTGGTAATTGGCATTAGAGTAAGCTATATATTCCAGATTTAGGGCTCATGCATTTGAAAGTCTTAAAAGAAAGGTACTTATCAGTTACTTCTGGAGGCCTTCCAACATAACATAGCTATTATCTAACTGCTGATCTTGAGACATATAGGGCAGTCAGAAGAATGAGTAAACAAAGAAAATTTTGCAGAAAGCTGCTAGAGCGTAGACAAACATGACTAATTGCCCATGTTCATTGGCTCCTTGGTAAAGCAGACTGTAGAAGCCTGCATCTCTCATGAAAGCCCTCATAGCTCTATGGCAGCTCTTAGCAAAGCATCTGAAGTGCCCTTAATTGTTTGTGTTCTTAATGCAGAGCCTCTTGAATACATTCATTTTTAATAGAGGACTTGAGTGTGGGGCCCATCAAAGACTGACAAAACTACACCATTCACTGGTTCTTGCTGTTGTAATGATTGTCTTTTGATTTATTTGCAAATGACAAGCTTGTCAGACCCCTGACTGAAGTGCTACCCTCCTTTCTGAAGTATCATTAAAAATTAACATGAAGGAATTCAGCTGCATTTCGTAAAATTAAGTTGAGCTGACAGATTTTTTTCTTCACTCAAGTAAGTTTTTTGCCTCTGTTCCATCTAATTAAGGACTTAAATGTTTTGACCTAACCATTGCCAAACTCAAGTGTTTGTACTTAAGTTTGTCTCTTGCTAAAGTGAATTCTCAATATAATGACAATGAACAAAGCAGCCAGAATAGTTACTATATATATTAATTTAAATCAGTCATTTTACTAAGCAATTAAGAGAGAGCTTGTACATACAATTGTAACTTTTTTCCTTCTGCAATGTTAAAAAAAAAGTATTGAAGTGTTTTCCTTTACAAGAGTCTATTTCAGATCATTTTGCATTTTGACAGCCCGTACATTCCAAAACATCATGTAAGATATCATATTTAAATCAACATGATTTCTTAAACAACTACAGATTTTTGCACTGGAATGAAAAGAAGGAAGTATAATACAAGTACCCAAACTCTTTTTTCTCACCACACCTAACATCCATGAGTATTTTATTGGTAATGCTGGAAGGCCCTAGCCTATGAGAGCCACCACTCACTTCTAAGAAAAGAATGCAACCTTCCTCTGAGGGGAATTAGTTAATCACCTTTCAGCTTCAGAGGTTACAACAATAATAATTTTGGGTTTGCTCCAATCAGTGTCAACAATACATGTCCCAGTAGCGACTTCAGCTATAGCATCCATGGTGACAAAATTAAGTCTTACAACATGTGATTTTTAACAATCAGTTGTACTGTGACAACTGCTCTTTTATTAGTGCTAAGAATCCTCAAAGCTGTGCAGACCTACCTTCACAAAACAATGCTTAGCTAAAAATGCCCATTGTATGGCAGAAGCTTGTTACTCTTTCTAGCAAACTGCACTTCCTATATCACAAAGTTAGATCAGTATTTGAAAGCACTCTATCACCACTTCTTAAGGACAGGCTTATGTCTTCTCATTTAATATATTTTTACTTACTTTAGTTACTTCAACCCAATTTTGAGAATCACATTTGTCGTTAGATTGGGAAGAATATAGCTTAGGAACAACACGATTAAAAGCAAAGGAAGAAAACCCAAAGTTTTGGTGATACCAAAAAAAACCCATGTCCTAATCCTTTCCTTTAAAGCAAAAGAATCAAATAATCAGCCTTTAATGCACAGAAAATAATATACTGTCAAATCACATTCACAAAAGCTTTAGAAGGTAATTCTTAAGTACTCTGACTCCACCTAAAC